CAAAACAAAGAAATGTCATGTATAATTCTATTCTAACGTAGAAGGCATGAAAGATATAGTACAGGGCTCCCCAAAACTCACAGAAGGGAACACTAACATCATCCCACAGCAGCTACACTGACAAGGTTGTCTGCAGATGTGTCTAAAGACGTTTTTTGTTTATCGGCCATGTGACCACAGACACCGGCCGGTGCCGATTATGACAAAAAGCTAGGGGATTGGCCAGACCCATTAATCGGTCTGTCACTACAGCAATGCTAAATAATATGCTGTAATCATGCATATTGCTAGTATCTTTAAATCCTGCAAACACTGTTGTTAGGACACTTATTTGAATTCACTAATGAGGTGCAGATAACTTCAGGTTGTAGCAGTACAGCCCGACACGTGGAAGAGAAGCCTTGAAGACACAGCTCAATTAAGCTTTGCAAACTGAATAACTGGATTGTTTTTGTTTCAACATTCAAGGACAAAATCACTAACCCTAGCCAAAGTAAACATTTTACCAAAAACTGTTGATCAGTGGAAAAGATTGTTTAACTCCATATAATGGTGCCTGATCTCTTTGAAACCGCCCAAGCTTGTGTAATCAAAAGCACAGCCTTTTGTCTCTTTAACACACATACCAAAGAAGCTGCCGAGGAGGCCACATCAGAATGAATGAATATTTAATTGAGGCCTATTGAGGCAGAAGATCAAAATGACCTTGCTCTAAATGATTATTCACTGATAAAAAATAAAAGTAGGGCAGGGGAGAATAGAAGGCGCACACTCGAGAGCCTCGGTTTGTCCAGCAAGCAGGAATATATTACGCAGACATATTAGAACAAAACCATAGCATTGTTGATGAATGTGTTTAACTTTGCCACTTGCTTTCATCTATGTCCCCCCACTTACAGCTAACATTAAATTCTTATTTGAACAATACTGCAAAATACTGTACATAATAGCCATTCTAAAAGCACATAGAGTGAGATAGGATTGAGAGATTTTTAAAAAGTGAACCATTGTTAGACATTTATTGTGATTATTTATACATGGCACGTATTAAATCTATTGTTACGGAGGGATAAACTCCACTATTTCACTTATTTTACACAAGTGTCTTGGATGAACAATTTAGACGCATGCATGGGACTCAAATGCAAGACACCAATGAAAGAACAGTGACCCTTTCTTATTGGAAGTTGTCTGGACAAAAAGCAGGTCAATCTGGCTTGTGAGGGAGCAGGACCCCCCC